TTTTTTCAACAAGTATAACGTTCCTCAGTTTCCATGCAAACAGCCAGCTTAAAATATTTTTTCTTTCGTAGCGCTAAATCTAAATTGCTTATCGTTATATTCGATATCAGTTAGTAAAATAAAAAGTCTTGCCATTTATTGCGATTTGTTGGTGATGTCCACTAACCAATATTATATCAACTTTCACTATAGCTTTGTTTGTCGTTTGATACACTCTTTACGATTAGGATGGTGATTTCATATAGTTGAATTGTATGTTAAGATGAACAGAGTTCCAAAATGCAAGGCTAGAAATGTATAGGAAAAGATTGAATACATTGAATCTTTGATGTTATCTTAATGACTTTGATTTATTTAGAAACATTCCATCTATTCATGTAGTCCCAAAGTTCAATAAACCACGGTCAAGATTTCGACAACGCTATTAGTATGTCTGCAGCGCACATTAATGTATACTAATACTAGTAAACTTGCTGTTTATAATGCTCGAGCAAATTGAGAAGCCAAATTTCCAATTTCAGGTTAAGCGCGCGCTTTCAAAAAAGGAAATTGGTAGTGGCGAAAAATGCCCCCGACAAAGTTTTAGCGTTAGTGGCCTACCCCTCTCACCCCTTTCTCAATAATCGAACTAATAACCCCAACGATATGATAGTGGTCGCCATTCAACACTCCATTACCCTGAACTTTTGAGTTCGAAACTGTCTTTACAATACATATCTCTTACAGGTACGTTTCGCACTAAATAAATATATATATTAATATGTTTGACTGATTTAAGTAACAATGATATGAACTCTGATATTAATTACACTCTGTCTTCGTTACTATTACTGAAGACCGCCCAACAACAAATTTTAGGACCAGAAACGAAGACATAATGCAATGATTTTTGGATATTAATATATACTCCATAGCCTCTCTTAACCGAAAGAAATTACTCAAAACGCATGCAAGTCAAAATTTCCTGGCCAAGTCTTTGGGAATAAGAGTATTACCACCATTGTTAGTGTGGACATAAGATTTAGGGCTAAATCGCTCAAGATGTAGTTCTGAAATTGAATTTGGCTTTACTGGAGAAAGTACAATTTCCGGCTAACAACATAATTCCAAGACGTCGAGGATGAGTTCACGGGGAAATCAATCTTGTGTACTAATTACCATACGAACTAAGCATCCACCAAAGTTATCCTTCTCGAAGAGATGAGAAATCAATTAGGACAGAATTTATCTATGTGGCATAGCTATTCGCAATTCTGGCCGAGTTGCATCTTCAAAGTATCGTCAGCAAGACGTAATGAGAGCAATAATTCACCAAGCGCGCACCAACATTTTCCTCGTAGTGATGACACGACACGAAATAATTGTAATTTGGTTAACTTTAGTCAATTTGTAGTGAACACCAGCATCCCAGACCAAACCAACTAGTGATTATGGCATATCTAGAATTTGTGACAGAACCGAAATCTAGAATCAAAAAAAAAAAACGAAATATATTTACGAAGTCACTTGGCTTTAATCGTCAATATTAGGAATTATTAAAAACCCACCCTTCAAAATTAAAATAACAGTACAAGCATTTGCGGTATCACGGAACATTATAATATCGCTTGTGTTTTATGTATGTATATGAGTATGAACTTGATATAACAAATAAAAAATAATTGAGTAACACGATCACATTTTATTCCTGATAAAGAATGTAATTACCCGTTGCTTTCTTTATTGCCAACTCCGATTCTATTTAAAAATAAGTTCAATCGAGGACAATGTTATTAGTTGCTCAAAATCGGAAAATGAGAGGTTTTTAAGGTTTTACATTCGTAGACTTATGGTAGGGTAAATATGACCTTTTTTCACCCCCTCCCCCATCCAACCACACCGGCCACGTCTACGATGTCAACAGTTTTTTCGCCTACCTCATTCTCTCGCATCCATGCAATCCAGCCAACGATGTTGAGGATAGCTCTACGTCCTGGCGGATCTTGCTCCGAGACTTATTCTCTTTACAGGAGTCATGAAGATGATAAAAAGGCGGTTGATTTTTTTCACTGCCATTCATGATGTAAATGGATACTTATTGACTTGCGTTGGACCATCCCCTTATGAACGGACGCACTCCTCTGGCCTAACCGTGATATGTAATGTGACTAGAATACCGCTAGCAGCCTTTTCCTCATTTACCTAAAATTGTTGGAAATGCGGGCCAATAGTTGTTAGAGTGATCACGTTCAAATATAATAATATATGGAATAACTATGGAATAAGATGGATTAACTATGGAATAAACACTCTCTGACAAAGCCCCCACTCTTTCGCTGAAAGGTCACTTTACGTTGAATCGAATCTTGTTTGATGCCATATTATTGTGTAACTTCCTTAGAATTGTTCGGTTGATTATGATAGATAAAAACTACGACACAATCTCCTCCATTCACATCTACTCTTCTTATTATAGATACTTACCACCAACCAGCAAGTACTCCATATATCGTTTTTTCTCCAGTTGGCGCACCTCGGATCAGTATCCCCTTCATGACGGCGACGACAGGCAGTCGGGTTGCGGGCCCTTACTAGAATGACCCAATCGTATGTCCGTATGAATGGTCTAAAAAATATTGAAGATGATATCAGAGGTATATCAAAGTCTAAAGATCTGTAGCGGTTGGATTGGGGTTGTGGAAAGGAAAGTCTATGATCTTATCATAAGTCCCTATAGATAGTCACTGATGAACGTAAAATCTTAAATACCCTCTCATTCTTCGTTCTTGAGCAAGTAATACCAACGTCCTTGTATTTGTGAATTGTTTCGGATTGTCGGGTTTAGGGATTACTCGGTTATTTAAATCTAATAGAAGATGAATTATATAATTAGAAACGCAAAAACATGGAAAACTACATAAATTCAATGTCATCATACATTTCTATAGTCCGGCATCCTCTCCCCTGACATATCCCATCCTAAGAGCATAACGTTTTCCTTCTACTTTATCTGTAGACTGACGCGTTTGTATAAAAGCCTTGTTCATCTTCATTGAAATCATGCCTAGTATTGAAACAAAGTTATACAAGGTAATCTTGATCGTTGAATGTTAAGACCACAAGCTGTTCAACTAACCTGTCGACTATCTCCCAAGTAATGGGCGAAATGTGTCAACTTTGGATAAAGTTTGCACCACGAATCACTCATAATTGTCTGACGCCATTAACACGTACTCCTTCAAACTCCTTACGTCCCAAGACGGCGACTGCGAGGTTTACATGCAGTTTACATAGCCTATTTTCAATGTTGGCGTAGAGCGCCTATGCTTAGTCTATTTATTCCGTCATCGTTGTCACAAATTATACGGCGGATGACCCAATTCGCGATGATATATTCGTCCGTCCGCCTTTTCTCCGGGGCTGCCACTTCGCCATTAGGTAAAATTGTTCTGATTAGACTGTAAAAATCGTTTAAATTAATTTTTAACCCATATTTGTGTAGTCGAAGTCTGATGCAAAATATGGAATTCATTGAGATTACCTATCCTATCTACCCTAGTCTTCGGTTGATATCATCGACATCTTGTGGATTGGACCAAATTGAGTTTGAATGACGAACAAAAGTTATTACAAATCTACGAAAGCAGAATTTGGCCTACCGAGACTTGATTTAGACTGCCGTTACTACCCAGATGGCACGCGCGGTGCAAAGATTCCCTGGAATTTTCAAAGGGGTTTTCTCGTTGCTAACTTATTGCGCCACGTATAGTTACGTGTCGTATGACGAACAACGTTATTATTGTAAGATATGAGAACATATATTCGCGGATACGAAAAAGAGAAAGTCAATCTCGCAAACAATGGTTACTAAGATTATCAATAATCAGATGTTACACATTTCCTTTTTCACGAAATTTTACCCAAGTCTTCCATTCGTAAAGAAAATATTAATATTGCGCTGTGTATTAAGCTGATCCTTTGACGTGGCAAGCACAGCAGCAACTCTGGCTTACCAACAAAAATTAATAGCCTTAGTAGATAAGAAATGAATTAAAATCACAATTACCGCTGGTAATGACAATGTTCTTCCAGCATTGATGTTGCTGAACCGAACACAAGCACTAATGAATTATATCATTCGACGCCTGATAAGTCTCTGACCAAAAAACTCGCAGAATAACAAAAGCGCATTTAATATTAAAATGTATTCGAACTTACCACAAGTCTTTCGATTGTTGATATTGATACGGTTTTTATCCAAAGACCTTGAAATTAATTTACTTTAAAATATTAATTATCCACAGATATACTTATGAATGGCTCACTTGAAGTTATATAAACGGCTCATTAAAGCTGTAGAATATTATTAATCAATTACACGCGGAAAGCGGGAACGAGAGTTTAGTATTAATTGACGGAGATACTTTAAACTGTGGGATGGGATAAAAAAGTTTCATTGTATTTGAATGTGCAATGAGCTGATAATGCCTCCGGTATAACGACAAGATTAATTCAGCCTATAACAACGCACAAGGCAGCTACAACAATACAGAAAGTGATGGAGGATTATCCAGTGTAAACACATTCCCCGTCTCACCATTAATAATGAATTTAGAGGTAGTATATAATATGCTAGTACTAGGCAGTAAATTTACAAATTTATCTAAAACATAGGTTTTTTATTCTACGAAAAAGTTATGCGACTCGAATATTAAACATGTTGCCCGAATATCTTTGAAAGGCTAAAGCGGAACAGAACGTGATCCTGTATTTGCAGTTTTATTGGCTGCCATACAAATTTGACCAATGGAATTGCGAGGGATCAATGCTCCGCTTTAGACATGCACGAGTTATTATATAACACGCATTTATTGGATAAATTAAATGTCATGTGAATTATTATTATATAAGTTTTGCAGAGCAAAATACGCAGTAAAAAGCAACGTTGTCTACGGACCTTTGCAAACAACAACAATAATAATAAAGTTACTCTGAACCTTCTCACATACGCAAAACGCAAAATGGACAAAGTCAGAAAGCTTGAGACTATCGGCTTTATTCATAACAGTTGCCCCCAGTATTTCTATAACAACAAGCGGTCTCCTCGCTCCGGTCCTCTAACTCCGCGCATTGAATTTGGTATGGAAGAATTAAGGGATGGGATAAAAGAAACATTTCCCGGTATCTCCCTGAGCAAGCCTTTTTGTAATGCGACTTGTGGCATGCCTCTCCGCGGCAATAATGATGATATACGCCATTCCAGCGGATCCATTTGTTTCTTTCACGGACAGCTTTGACGATGGCTTTTTGAGCCGTAATCGCCTCCTCGCCCTCGCAATACTTTCGACGAGTCTTAGTATCCAGCGAGGAGCAAAAAATTGTTATGAGACAATACCGAACCGTGCCGGCGGCGGTATTATTTGCTTTCCCTATTGGGCTGCGGGCAATACGAACAACTTCTCATATCTCCCCTATTAGTAAATAAAGGAGAGGTAGAGGAGGAGGAGGAGATGTAGAGAAGGAGATGTAGAGAAGAGAGAAGGGGAGAGGGAACGAGAGAGGGAACGAGAGAGAGAGAGAGAGAGAGAGAGAGAGAGAGAGAGAGAGAGAGAGAGAGAGAGAGAGAGAGAGAGAGAGAGAGAAGAGAAAAGATAGACAATTATATTACGAGGAGACGTCGCAAAGAATCTTTACAATAATAATAAAGTTTTATTAATAAACTCTATAAGCGAACGTCTTAATGATAGATATTCTTTATGGAAGTTCGACTGTATACGAATGCGAACAATAACACGATAGGGTTATCCTATCGGGCAATAGATGGGTCGCAAGACGTTCCTAAAAATTATAATTAAAGAAAATATTGGTTTTAGATGTTTAATGAACGAATACTCGAGTACATTAAAGTTTGTCATAAAAAACTTGATGTATGTAAACAATTTTTTGTCTCGAAACCAATTTTTTGGGGTGTGGACCTGAGTGTGCAACTTCTCCCTTCAAACACCTTCAATAGGTTGCAGTTCACAATAGGATGAGTAAATTAACGTCATGTTCATATTGTTTTGCAATTCTAGCACAAGAAAATGTAACCTTTATTTGTTCATTTGACCAATTCTAAAAGTTCTGGTTTTCTTAATTCATCAGAAAAAGCTATGTGCATTTAACCATCGTTCAACCCGTCGCTTGCACACTCCCGACTGTACCGTCTGCTACGCCCAACGCCTCATCGTAACCTTCCGATGATCATCCTTTCTAGAATTATCATCAACTTTGCGGTGTGCCACATATTATGAAGGAATTATGCATTGTAGGATAATAAATCTTAATATACGATGTCGTTTAGTGTATATTTATTTCCGGCCCTTTATATTGGCATACAGTACCGAACTTGACGCAAATCCTTTCCTCTTGAACGAGGTACAAAATTTTTCTGCACCAACCCATATTACTATAAAAAAAAACTTACCGCAGATGACAAATTTTGACGAAGCAGTAATAATCAACTTAATCGCCACTCGGAAATTGGAAAGTTAGCCTTCTGATTATTAAACACAGTGTTGGGTATCTTAGTTCAGACCACGTATCAAGTGAGCCAAACAAACTGAGATGCGTCCAGCCACTCAACCTAGAACTGAGACAGCTGAGGTGTATATAACAAGGTACTCAATCACACTAAACACAGAAAAAATAAAAATAAAAAAAGACGTACTATTAAGTCTTTTGTTTATTTATCTATCGCTATATTTTAATCACCATATAGTATTATCTTCAATAAACAGGACTTCGTTAAACTAGAATAAAGCACTGGGCAAAATTGTTGCTTTGTCGGTGGAATGAATGACCGGTTGACACAAATGTTATAGTGAAGGCTTTCTTTTCAAAAATTGCTCCTACACACGTACTATACGAAGTACAATATCTATTTGTATAATTCTGAATCAAACTGACTGTATTTTCGAAAAAATAGAACGTTTTTATAAATTATCTGTAGCAAGGTAAAATAAGTGTATTTCTATGTATGGTACATATACCGCTTTTCATTAAGATATGATCACAGCCCAGCTCTGATGGGAAATTTACGCGTCATTTCTCGACACGAATGCAAACGAGTCAACGAATCTTATTCGAAATATAAACAAGTGAAAATAAAAAATTTACAATTTTTATTAGTAATAATAAATAAAACCAGTAGCTTTAATCGAGTTTTTAAATAAATTTCCCAAGAGCTTGCGTTTGAAATTAAGAGCAGATTTAGATTATACGCAGCCTAATTCTTTTAGTTTTTTCTCAATAAAAATTTCGATATATTTTTTCCAATAAATTTAGTTCTAATGACTGAACTTGCTATCGAATGTACACGCAAAGTCCTATCTATGACTTTAGATCAGAGAGGTGTCGCGTTCTGTCGAGTCAACTATTAATTCAGTTAAATATTTAGCTGCGTCTTCGAAAGTGCGTATTTCGGCAATAAACATACATATTCCCACTTAACGTTTAAGGCTATGCCTTAGTATATTCATTTTATTAAGTACATTTCTCCCGTTTCCAAATTGGGACGTTGATCCTAATTCAGAAGTTGTGTTGTAAACTTTGGGAAATGCAAAATTTGCAGTTTTTCGTTGGTCAGAATATAGTTGTGTCACAATAACAGACACATGACTTTAACAATCACGTGCAAACGCAGAACTATATTAATATTAATATGCGCAGGTTTCGGTTCTTCGTAAAAAAAAAACACACACACAAAATGACGCTCTTAGCCACTTACAATAACAAAATGACCCAAACACTATTAGTGTCTCAATATATACTTCTCAAACAACCGCTTTTCAAACACAGTTATTACTTTTCAACTGGGCTCTTCACAAAAGTCGGTTAAATTATATCGAAAACCAATTTTTTTACAATGAAATCCCAAGGGAAAATGAAGAACCACAGCGTTTCAAGGTACTTGCTAAAATAGCGTGGGCGGCAAGTACCTTCGTCAGAATACAAGAAGGAAGAAGGGGTTGACGGCATTTGGAAACGACGAGAAAGAAGACATGCAGGTCTCCCCGTCAAAAAAAAATAATGTCGTGGCCGTTCCCCGGTCGAACAATAATAATGTCGGCTTGAAGAGACGGAGACGAAACTTTCGGAAATCTACCAGGAAGATGGACGAAGCTGTCTTATGCCAAAACAAGCAAATTTGGAACTGAATTATGGAGGCGCCATGTACTTACCAAGTATATGGAACCGCCTCCTAAGCAAGAAATGAGAAAGCGGTGGCCTACTCTCATTACTCGTCGTTTGGTACGCCGTACAGCGCAATCATAGTTATAAAAAGCGTAAGCGGCAGTCTAGTGCGATCCTTTCTTTTCTGACGGAACGGTCAAGGCGCTTCCCACCGAGTATATGGAGCCGTCTCCTAAGTAGATGAAGAAGAAGTTGATGAACCCGCATGGATTACTGCACGCATCACACGCTTCCATTCTGTCAAGCGTCAGTCGAGCGAGTGTGTGTGGAGTATGGTGTCTATTATTGGACACTGATCGTACTACCCGAATTATTCGGGGAAGAGTGGCAAAGAACATTTGCTGGTGTTGCTTTCATGTGACTAGCAGTACATGAACAGTCGACCAGATTTTATTAAATTACAGTTATTATTATTGCTAGATAGTTTCAGTTCGATGAAGCCATAGTTTGTGACCAATTTTCGATAATGTACTTTATATAGACACTTTTATTGGAACGTTTTTCTTCACGATTGCATAATAACTGCTAAGCCAAATAAAAATTATCAAAGTATTTGCTTCATTGAAATCGATATGGTGTTGTCCTTGATTAGGCACAATTTTTCTGGAGATTGCATATGACTGACAATTTCTTCGAAAGTGTTCCCCGTCGTCGTGCGATTTTTCGAAGGGGGTTTCTTTTTTTTGCGGTTTACTTTGGCAATACTCTGTTCGGCGAAACTTGCCATCATGGACAAACCCGTGACTGAGTCACACGAGCTATCACCCGAGAGACACGCTGTGATGTCCCAATATTTGTACAAAGTTTTCTAGAATAGAGTTTGAATACGGTGTTCTTGTTACTAAGATGTACGTATCACATTGCCCACATGTCTTTTCTCTAGGATATTATCGCCATCAATAAGTTGACAAGCGGAATTTTGCCAACTTAACGACAGGAATGTCATAGGTAATACAAAAAGGTCTTCCTATCAACCAGAGTTGTCTCCCCAATCTTCGGAATGAATTGTAGGTTATCCTAGTCGTTATTTAGAGGAAGATTATACGAGTCAGTCATTGATAGTATAAATAAGTGATCCGTTACTATTACTTAATGTCGGGCATCAATTTCCGTATATCAGGCGAACGCGCACAAAGCTTCCGATAAGACAGTTTTGTTTACAAATGTGCCGATATTTCGTGTTGTTGCGAACCTTATTATAATACACATGGGCTGATCAATCGAAATAGAAGTTTCATAGTTCGAATAAGATTCGTTGACTCGTTTGCATCAGTGTCGAGAAATGACACGTAAACTTCCCATTTAGAACTGGTCTGGGGGGCGTCATCAGTAATGTTGAGAATCTTGTTCATTTTCGGAGCAGTAAGACCCGCTTATGCTTATAAAGCTAGTCTGTTGTTCCAAGCTGTTTAGTTGATATATATGATTAAAAATTTTTTATACAAATCCAATTATCAGTAGAATTCATACCTAGTCTGACACGAGTCGGTTAGTCATTCCCGACACGAAGCGCAAATAAAATTGATCGGATCTCGCAGCAAGAAGTGTAACGAAACGACTCCCCCAGTATATGTAAGCACCATAGTCACTACACGAATGAGAAAGAGCAAACAACAATTAATATCTATCCGTGTCGGGGACAGTATCTACAACGTGATCTTGCTCAAATACCTAAGAAGAATCCCTTCCTCGCCCCGAAATAATTTTTTGCTCGCCCTTCATATGCCGTTAATCGGAGGTACGAAATGAAGAAATGAAGCTCAGGCCAAGGATTTTCGATAGTGAGCGCGAAGACAGATATTAGTGTTTCCGAAAGATGGATCGTTCAATTTGCATCATTATTGTAGCTTGCCCAAAAGGACTACACTTGTGATGTTGCTGATGGCAGTATAATTAAATGACCGACCGATGCATGCGATTGGACATTGTGTGAATTTTTGATTAGCATACTAGCTAACGCGACTTTTACTCCTGAATATGAAAACGATGTTAAATTTCCCGAATGGAATATCTTTTGTGATTTGTCGCCCTAGCAACGTAGTACAGTTGCTGCCGTCACGTAATTACATTAAAATCTTAGAACATAAGACACGTGTTGGAAAAAATTGACTTTACTGAAGGCTTTAGCATGAATAAGCTTGACATAAATAAGCATAATATCACGAGTCCAGAGACTAATGGTAATTTTACGGATCTTATTTAATTTAATCTGACGTTTGAGATTAATTTGTCATCTCAAAGGTTATCGTAAAACCCATTACTGAGACTGACATTTTTCTGACAATCGTTATTTACTTAATTAATAGTTACCTCCGTTCCGACATCGCACAAGGTCGAATTCAATAACGATAAGATACGATGTCATGTATACCCGCATCCATCGGAGATCGTTTCGAAATGAATAAGCTCACGGTCGGGATTACTCGTGTCAGGTACGTACTCTAAACACCTTTGAATGTGTTGCCCATGATGTGGTGAAATCCGTGCGATACAATGCTAGAGAATTTGTCATGACCACTTTATCGACCCGTAGAATACGTATTATCCTTGATTTGACGATCAAACGCTTGCTTATTTTCTAGCCTTTTCTTACCAAGCTTGGACTAAGTCCCCAAAGGCTTCGATTTCATCAACTAGTGGCTCAATATGCGTGTGATTGTTGGGATACTAGATCCAAAGTAGTATGTTTGTTATCAACTCTTTAGGATTAATCAAATGTGTTGGATGGGCCGATAGTGCATTCTAATCAAACAAGTGAAAAACTCGTTGTAGGCGAAATTTATCCGAACCTATGATTTATGAAAGTCTGTGTTGCACATTAACAACAAAATATTCGGCCTGAGGGTTTAGACTGAATGGCAAGACGTTAGGGACGTGCCGTTATGACTGAGTGAAGCAGAACTGGAAGCGATATATCAAAAGTGACGGAAGGTATGTATTTCGAATTGAACTACATGATCCTGTTTGTGCGTAATGTAAGAATTATGCATCGACAATTTCTAATCCCTACGCAGTAAACTCACTGTCTACCTTCCCAATGGGAATTCGGTTCAGACTCCTTAACTATTGAGTACTAGATGCTTACAGAACATGGTGAATAACATAAGTCTTATAGATAAACTTTACGCACGAGCTGAATTGACTAATCAATGATTGTAATGAATATATTCCTAACGAAATAGAACCGTCGGTCGTATTTTTTATTCGCTATTTGAAAATGTTTGTTGGACGCGTGAGGGAGGCGAATATCGAGCGGTAACTATAATACTTAGTGTTTGCTATAATAATAACGTGAATTAATCTTAGCTCCATATTCACCTCAAGTTGTATCTTCCCACCACGCATAGCACCTTTCATCCGCTTGCTAGTTTCACTTAGTAATAGCGCGTCACTCGCTCCACCGGGTCGTGACATCTGTCAGTCATTTACATAACTGTACTCGTGCTGTTAATAACAGCACGGCTCATGATCTGACTTTTGTCCTTATGTGTCCCGTGTGCGAAAATTGAGCATTCCGATCAAGTAGACGGTCCATCAAACTCTCGTCGGTCGTCAGTACTCAATCGACGAATGACGGTACATTCATATTACGCGAACGAGATTCAACTAAGCAGATCGGTGGAGAAGTGTCTGACAAAGTAAAGATTTGATTATAATAATCCTTAGGAAAAACAATATGGTGAGTAAATGCTGGGAACATATTGACGAGACATCATGGTTGTTAGCCCTCTGTAGCAGCGAAGGATGAGAGTGTGTTTGGCTTGAATCTTTCAAGTGAAATTGTAACGACGAGTCTGAAAAGCAGGAAACTTATGAATGTTTTTCTCAATACAATTTTTTGAGGAATTAGTTGAATCCAATGAGAAATGGTTCTGATAAGGTAGCTTTCTTCGGTGAGCGTTGTTTCTGATAGGTACGTTTAATGTGACGAATAAATTATGTCGAGAGAGAAATCATCGTCAGTGTCAAACTGCGTTATGGACGACGGGAAATATTTTCTAATTGGGTGGGGTGAGCGAGAAAATTAACGCTACAAGTAGAGAGTGACGCATGAATAATATATCATCTAAGACACACACTAATTATTATCGTCCCATTTATCAATGTCATCAAGATCATCGGATGTGAATGTTATGTCATTTAAAGCCGGTCTACGTTTGACACCACCGAACGGCTGAATTGAGAGTCTGTCGGGTAATTCTAATTATTAATTTATCAAATATAAGAATGTAATCAATAGTTAACCACAATATTAATATCTTCAAATTCATTTTTGCATCAATCCGTACTTCTAGGTTTTATTTTGCAACAGTATATGCTTCCATCACGCGCTTGAATACACTATTAACTTCGTATAGACACGATACTTTCTTAAAATCGCTTGAAAAAGAGCGGAAAGAATTACCAGCAAACTTGGAAGAGCATTTTGGACACTATTTAAGGCTCAATGTTTACCCGCTAATACCTTGACATTATGGGAATCCGTCACATGCTTAGTATAATGCGACTTCGCATTCACCAATCCTCAACTCAGTTCTTATCCCCTCTATAATACAAATGTGCTATCCCTGGCACATAAATGGTTTGGCTAAGTGCGAAGTGGAAGGAGATCATGATACAAAGAATTTGAGAAGCTCTGACAAGAAGTTGAGAATGACCCACATGGGTCTTCAAGTTGACGTTGGGCGCAACAAAGAGAGTATGAGATGTTAGAGTTTTATCATTTAACTTGCCGCTTGCAGGGCAGACGCGTCAACAGAAATATACCCATTATCATGAATTACGCTGGGCTAAGATTCGGTATGTTGGCTTAGTTCTGCAACATATACTTAATGCAATCGCATGTGTGATGGTTCCAAGTCAATTATAATAGAAGTCCGATATTCAGTTCTGCCTCAGTCATATCTTATCTCCCCACTTGTATCCCAACCCCCGCATCGACATTCGTGCCACCTTTACCGTTTTGTCGATAATGTCGGCCATTTGGTCCAATATTTCTTTTTCATACGCGACGTATTTGGGAGACTTGGCATACCTTCCCGTTAAATCCCAGCTTTAATGCTGGTCGGATTTCCCTTATTCCGTTCCATATACAGTTATATCCACATTCCCTATCCCCAATTTCCACAATCCCAATTTCTCAATCCTACAGTAATCTTATATTAAGCAAATTCATTGACTACATTTCTATATATTAATATGAATACAGATTCGGCAACTCAACTGAAGTATGAAAGCATCTGTGTGTCCACCCGATACTTCACCACTCTGACTCTTTGCATGAAGTGGCCCCGTTAGGCATATGATAGGCTATGCTATCCGCGTTGATTTGTGTCAGGTAAACATAAAAGAACAATTTCAAATTCTCGCCAATATTTTCGATGGGGATATCTAACTCGTTACTCTAACCTGACTTGGTATTATCTCAATTTGCAGGCATTAAATACACAATTGCGAGAATTTGAACAAACTCGTTATTTACAATGCAATTTCCAGCTGGTGTTCTGTCATTTGAAAGTACATAGGACTGAACTTGCAGGAATAAAGGGAATATCATAGCCCTTAAGAACATTGCACGTAATCGTCTTTTATGTCCTTTATAGAAATAATAAGGTCTTAGCATATCAGCGACAATGAATATGAACAAGTGAGAACCCAGATTGAGAATGAGACATAACCGGCCACCAGTCTACTCACCATCGCCTAACTTAATCTTCTTATCTCCAATCGGTCATACTTCCTACGGTTTGCGCGGAACAACGAGCAATGGTTTTAGATATAAGTCTTGCTACTAAACAAATCAAAAAATTTTCCAATGGGATGTTCTTATCAACTTTGGAGCAGTCATTGAGGTTAAAGAACACCAACATTTAGTGGACTTATTCTGCGTGATCGGTGACCGAATAGCATCTTCATTATATAATGTAGTGCTGTTCATATGCGTTTCAGTTTTGTATCTCTCGTCAATCTGAGTGACGTGACCAACTGATAAAACAGTTCAACTAAATAAAACTCTCTTCATCGACCAGCACGATACAACGTTCCAACCTCGCCGGGGATAAGTTGTTCCGAGTATTCTAAATTTGATCGAGGCAAAATACGGAATCACATTAACCGTGATGCTTGTCCAATCCTTCTTTTTGTTAGGGCGGCCGGGTGGTGACATCGGACGAAAAAAGCGATGTTCGTGTAAAATAAAAGGTGTTACACTCGTACCCCGTTTATATCCCTACCTCTTCATCACTGTGATTCAAGCATAATTCTCGAAAGGAAAGCGTCCAGTTATATCCCACCCCCGGTTATATCCCCAAGTTTTGTAGAAAACAAATGGTCTTCTAAGAACGAACATTCTTTTTTGTGCCAGTTATATCCCATCTCAGATATATCCCTTATCCCCATAGTCATATCGCCGAATATTAATCCCAACCCGTTTATATCCCCTAAGTTACATTAATTGCTAAAACGGGAACATTTCTGATCTCTCGCGTATGCAACCTAATGAAAAAGGCGGAAAAAGAACGCATTGATAAATTAAAAACAAAGCAAACTGGATTTATATTTTGATAATTGTATATACCCGAATAATAAATAAATCATATATATATTGATTATCACGATTCTTGTCATGTGAGTACGAGATCATCCCCGTTTATATCCCCACCCCGCTTATATCCCTACCCAGTTATATCTCACCCCCGATTATATCCCCAACGTTTATAAAAACAAATATCCTTATACGATAAGATACATTGTACACTTATATCCCCAACCCGTTTATATCCCCACTTTGAGGTGAAACGAAAGGGAAGATATAAACGGGGTACGAGTGTACTTGTAATAATTTTTCCATCAAAAATTTACAAATATGTAAGGTTTAAGTTTAAATAAATTCTATAATTTCACCCACTGCAGTCATGTGTCCGTAAACAAAACCCTGTTCCACAGCACTGTCTTGTCTCCTAATAGAAGTGATCGGTTGGTCCCGTCATCGATCGGGACGGGTCCAAACCTTATCGCAGCAATTACTATAAGAATGTGCCCCATCACCTGTCATATATGCTTTATATGCTACTTCCCCAAGCTATAAAGACAAAACATGTCTCCTCAACAATATAATAACAAGGACAAAATATGTCCCCATCAATTTCCAACAAAAATAGACATTTTATTATATATGGTACTAGAAATTGTACCAAGTAGTGTAATAACACTAAGAGTTAGGTCATTAAGACCTTTTTTAATATACACTCTTGGAGGGTATTATAGGGCATTAAAAACCCATTCACCTCTCTTTGCCCACCCTCCCAATACACACATATATATGTATATTTATTGTATATTTATATTGTTGATGGGGTTTTGGCCCTTTAGTGAGCTCCACTTCGTAAAATGGCGAGCGGTCAGAAGTTGTCGAAGAAATAAAGAAGAGGAAGACTCGAGGAGGAAATGCGGCCTGTTCACGGTCAGGGCGGGCTGAAAAGGAAAGCCGACAGAAGACTTTCCTGGTCGATGACGAAGAACGTGTCAAATGGCTTAGCGCCGGCCGCGTTCTTGTCAAAAATTTTAATTAATTATAGGAGGAAGCTGGATATAGTAATTATATCCAGTGGATCAATTACTCTCTCTTCACAGACATAAAAGAGATGACAGTACCATTACGCACATACAACCACTTATATAACACGATGTATTAGCATAATGCCTAGCAGAGTTTTATGAATTTATTCAAATATTTGATTAATGAAAGAATACCCAGAAATACTGACGCCTGTTAGTTAAAAATACTACTTATTCAAGCAAAAACGATACAGCCTAACATATAGCGAGCGTAACTTACGACAAGATATTGTACGACAGATTGACTTACTTTATAAATTTTATTGATACAAATCTTATAAAAAGATCAAATCTTTGAAATGGACTTTCATGTATTCCAATATTGGTTGGCACTTATGCTTAATCATATATTGTCAATAAAGATATCAATCTTTGGTATTTAATCCAAATTTCGAATAAATAGCCCCCATCGTTTAAAGAAAATGAATAGAAACATGCCGCCGGACGAGTTATTGTCTATGTTGTGAATCGGCTGTTAAGCCGTCACCCAAATGCATAGAGAAGCGGTTTAAACAATATAATTTAAATATCCTAAGGGTGGTTCGGTTTGACGACCCCGAAGTTGATTTTCTGCGATGGGTGATCCTTATCTCTCAAACCTTCACACCCTTTCTCTCGATAGAGAGGTTAACAAAGCCGACTGTTGTGATCGCTCATGTTGCTCGTCAGACTCATACCGCAATGGTATTACAGATACCAAGAACATTGGCCGCATGCAAACGATCCCATTTTAATTTATTGTTCATGGAATCAATGGAAAAGTTGGTTGTCATTTGAATATGTCCATCTTTTTTTGAACCTTAGAAATTTCTCTTTCAGATGAGAGTGCTCGAATTTTTCCTTTATAATAAATAGTAGAAGAGCAAGACATACCAAGATGCAAAGTCTGTTACGTCGTATTTAACCGAATATATACGAGGCGCAGATTTTTTCGTCCACAATTCATAAGAGGTGAACAAATTGGTTTAGTATAAGATAATACATTAATATGGAGAAATCTTTATTATAAATAAAGTCGAGACGTATATAATATCTCGGATGACGTCATTAAACCCTATCACCCCCCGCTAGACTTGAACCAACATGGGATGATCGGGGCCAGTATGCCACGCCTAACCATTATTACTTGGAAACGGGAACCGTTGTGAGTCCGGAGCAATCAATAACGTCATCATCATCAATCACAATCATCGAATTTTTCACAGTGCGTAGACAGTAATAGTCCTTCGCTTTGCTCCGGACAATGATTCACCTTAGCGGCCTCAATGTTAAACCTCTGCATGCCACTGGGAATTATGGCGGTGAACTCAATCTTAAAGCCTGCCAAATACCGTTTATGGTTGCTGTCATTGCGCCACTTGCACAAAATACTGTTGCAATGAACCTGATGAATACATTATGAGACATATTAATATTCTGATAGACTGGTTCTGTTTGTCTCATCCAATCTGCGGAAGCGATTGCGGTAAGTGTTGGACGCGTGATTTCGGCGAAATAATGTATATCGGTTTAGCAATTCTTTGATGGGTAGATATAATGGGATCTGTGGGTTCGCGAGCTGTTCGGATTCGGATATTCTCCGGCTGGGTCTCGCTGGCCTCTAAATTTGACGGTGTTTCTGATTGAAGTTATTAATAATTTCAATCAACTCGTTGTCGTCGTCAATCGTTCTGACTATGTTCGACTTATCATTATTTATAGCCTCGCTTGACTGTTTATTGGCTTCGTACAACTTCCTTTTGATAATGGCGTCATTCGATTCTCTTTCGTCCAACTTATGGTTTCATTTGCGACGTTATCATTGACCTGTCACTTTTTAAAGCTTTCAATTTGCCGCCAAAATATGCATCTCTTCTTCGGTTGTCTGTTAACCAACCTGTCATTGTGAGTGTCATTGAATTCTTCAACCGCTTTGCTGATAATTATCAACTTTCTTTTGTTTTCTCGTGACTGGATTCACAGTTAACCTATCTTGTCGAATACTCGATAAGAGATGTTTCCGGTGTCTTTATAAAAGATGCTGGCTCGAGGACGCCTTCCCATTATAATAGACAGTTCGTTTTGTTATGGTGCAAAAATCCTACAGAGATCAGCCAATAACCGATCCTCCAACTTTTAACCTCGTAACCAATACGTTGTTTCACTGCAATATTAATAAATTAATATAATGCACGGTAAGATTACAGTACTCTAATACTAATATAATTTCATTGAATCACCAAACTTACCCCGCGCTGAACATCCCATGGTCACTCGAGCAAAATGTCGCGTTTACACTAATAACGACGATTTAAATTACTCGCTGCGTAAATATATATATTCCGTATCCACACCTTCTGTGGATTTAACATGAAGCAATCGATTACAATTTCTTAATATGATCTCATCGTAATGTGCTCGCCCATAATACACGTTAACCACTGTGCTTCACTCTTCTAACCAAGGATGATTAAGTACTTCAAATATTGTTTTTTATAAGATCGATGAAGCCGAAGTGGAGGAGAGTATTGCGGTGAAAAACCTGTAAAAAATTTTGCAGTTAAAGTAGGAGAAACAATTTTCTTAACAAGAAGGTATTATGAATAACCTTTGCCCCACATAACAATAAGCAAGTTCGTACCTTCTGACAATATATACGGAATACGTAAATCTCTTGCAAGAATCTCATTTATATTATAGATGCGTATATAACATAACAAGACCCAGATATCCGTGGAGAGTCATCATATTCCAGACCAGTCAACAACTAAATGAACAAAAATTGCTCATGTTAACACATAATACAATTCCATTACATACGCGTTAACTATTCTTTATGTTCCCATATTACCTCAGGCGCAGCATAATCCAAAGTTCCAAGGAATTTGTCTTTGGTTCAGTTGCGCTAATGTTGGGATTGCCATAGCCCTTATCTAAAAAAAAAAAAGAAAAATTCCCGTGAGTTATTTGGATGGGTAACATACTAGCTTACAACAGAATACATGTCCGTCTCCAATGAATTACCATTTATGAATCCGTATTGACTTGTATTATTTCCTCTTTAAATAACGCCATTTACTTGGTTGTCAAAAGTTTTGAGATGTTCGGTTTGTCGAAGACATTATAGTTGCTATCTTATAGAACGAAAAAAGATTGATGTGATGTTAGCAATTTGTAATCTTATGTTAGGATTCGCGCTCAGATTCGCCCCACTCTATCTCTGCTCCTTCATATCACCACTTTTTTTTCTTTCGTTCAACCTGTCTATGCCTATAAAATCTACTATCTATAAAGTAAATGTAATCGGGAGTGTCTTTTTGAGCGCTTGTGTACGTACCGTGCATTGAAACGGTCTATTCGTAAGCCAGCGAACGCAATTTTTTAGTGTGCGATTCTCTCAGAACCAAGTACGGCACGACCAAAAGTCAATGCATAAAAAAATACGATCAACAATCATGTGATATTTATGCTTGAACATTATAGGTATGTTTATTGTATTTGACACATGTGTTTACGTGCTTATGTTAACAATAAAATTGACCATACTGATTCTTAATATTAATGCCTCCGAATTAAAGTGTGCTAGAAAGACAATTCCTAAAACTTTTAACCCTGGCTATTGTAGCTGGCAGGGAAAAAACCCAGTATTGACAAATCGCACCCAACATAAGAATTTCCACTCATTGTCATAGCCTCGTAAATTGCTTACTGTTTTGTCAAAGTTGTTATGACTACATTTACATACATAGACAATCAAAGTATTTACATTGAACATATACGATTAAAAACACTCTCGGTTCGATTTATCAAAAGAACCAATTTGCTTTCATTCTCCTGTCTTCATATTGCAATTGATTTAATTCAGGTCAATTTTCATAAAGATGGCAAATTGCGCATCTGCAAGTCCTAGCTCTGCTGCTGATTCATACAACTCCATTGCCGCCTGTTCGTCTCTCTCCACTCCGATTCCATTTTCGTAGCATCGACCAAGATCGTATTGTGCTTCTGCATGTCCTCGGAATGCCGCCATGTGATATAACTCGAGGGCTGTTTGCATGTCTTGTTCTACTTCGACCCCGTTACGATAGCATATGGCGAGAATATATAGAGCCCCCACAATCCCACTACTAGCGGCTGCATGATACAATTCTACAGCCACTCGGGTGTCGAGTCTTACGCCAATGCCTTCACTGTAACATAATCCAAGAGAGAATATTGCAGGTGCATATCCTTGCATTGCGGCTTTTCTAATTAATTTGGCTGCCTTACGCTCGTTTTTGCGGGGGATGCCGACTATATAACCCATACCAATATAATGTTGCGCTTCCGCAAGCTCTTGGAGAGCAGCCGCTCGCAATTGTTGCGCTGCTTTCCGTTCGTCTTTTGCTACACCGTCTCCGGACAGATATCGTAAGCCGATCGAATATTGTGCGATTGCACATCCTTGGTCAGCCGCTACGCGATATAACTCAAACGCCTTTTCCTTATCTACTGGAACTCGATTCCTTCGTCATAACATCTTGCGAGATCCAGCTGCGCTCGGATGACGCCCTTGTCAGCTGATATTTGGTATAATTCAACGGCCTTGCCGTAGTCGGCGTCCACGCCGTACCCCCTTTCGTAAAACATTCCTAGTAGATGATACGCCTCGGCATTTTTACTTCTCCTCGCTGCGACTTGAAGTAATAAAAACGCTGTCTGTTCGTTTTTTTGAATACCTTCGTTTGAATAACATAAGGCCAGATTGTGTATTGTCGTCACATGACCTCGCCCAGCTTTCTGATAATAGTGAACGGCTTCTTCCGCGTTATTTCCGGTCATGTAACAATCTCCTAAGCGACATAGTGCCTCACCGTCTCCTGATTGGGTCATTTATGTATGTATTATAAAGATATTTCGTGTGGTGGATTGTAGATACGTATTATACGTGTAGTGTGGGATGTCGCCCCCTCGGGGGAAACTTGTGTATTTAAGTGTATATGGATATAAGAAGTACAATAGAAAATAGAACATTCAATACAAAACAAATTATTATTATTGATGCTGAAAACTACTCCCATAACGTTACATAACTCTGCGCCATTTCCATTCATCTCTATTTCCATTCAATTAAAATATATCACTTTTGGCGAAACAAAGGCAATGTAGATTTAAACTTTACTTTACCATTTAGTCCCATATAAAGAAAATACATATCGAACGTGTCATTTTCGATTCTACCCGATGCCGCACTGGTATCGGCATCAACGTATAGCGAGAGAAGGAATGTTATCATGTGAATTTGTATATTCAATTATCCAATCAAAACGCTTGGATTTTATGCGCCTTCTTTTTAATGGAGGTAGACGAAACAAGCGCCATCGTCGTAGCATTGTTTATAGCATAGGATTATGATGCAATCAATGGAAGGAACATATTTCCTCATTTAAATATTACTCCTGCATTGCCGAACTAATAATCACCCCGTATGTTGAAGAGAGACTCTCAACGAAGACATATGATCTCATTCTCATCATAATGCAGAGTAGACGTCTTGTATATGGTGTTTTATAACTGTCAACTGACTTCTCGTCGGGTTCAGTTTTCCACTCGCGTGTTAATATTGACGCATCTTGTTTGGCAACCGGCTGAACACGTACACGCTTTTCTAACGCTAACATATTACAGTCAAAACTCGGATAACTGATAATTCGCAAAATCGATACCTTATTCAATTCCCGAAACACGTATAATGAAATTTTACTCGTAAAACCGACAACACACATGAAATATAGATCTCGTAAATTCGATAAACCAATATTTTTTTGGCGGGTAGTCATAATTAATAATAGATATTATAAGGTTGTATCGTAATTGGCCAATCATACTCCTAATTCAAAAAACCGATAGAACAAGGCGAAAACATGATATCGTCAATTACTGTGTTACTGATCCGCATTATACGCGCAGAGTTACAATTTATTATTATTGCTCGATATGACATATCCATACAACTTATTCAACATATGACATCTTGTTATGTATCATATATTCAGCTTAGCTAGGCTGAGGCAGATGTAGTAGCGGGCAGCTGATATTGTTGTTGGCTGGAAATGTTTGTACCTTGAGTACAATACAGGTGCGAGAACGGATCTCATATCTGCTGCTTTACAAACGCCTCGTTCGTAGCATAAGCCGAGAGCTAATTGTGCCATCGGGAATTCCTGATCAGAGGCTTTCGTATAGAATTCAATCGCCTCGTAATCTTTTTCCACTTCCACGCCACACTGAATGCTTTCGTGTTGTTTTGCTCAACTTCAATACTCAACAAGAACGTATCGCCTAAACAGTGTAGGGCCAGTGAATATTCGTCATCGGCTGCAATTTGCAACATTCGGGGTGCTTCTCATAATTTCCTGCTGCTATCGTGAGATTTGCTGTTGGAGAAGGAGAAGGGTTGCATATATAAGTGTTTTTATCGTATGTCATGTACAAGCTGCGGCTTCAGTCTGTAGTCTTCCGGAAGTAATCAATAATTCCCATAAGTTCGTTATGGTTAAAAAGTCTTTTTATACATGTTTTAGAAAACTGCTGTTCACAGGCGCTGAGTCATCATAAGTGAACTGTACATATCGCCGAAGGAATACGGAATTTGCCCAACGCTATTTTCAATTCTCAGTGAGCTGTAAGCTCATCAACATGTCTTTCTCTTCAAAGCTGGACGTCTTCTATCATTTCATCGATTTCTCAAAACGGTGTCATCCTTCTTTCAGAGCTGTACTCTATTCTTCAAGGTCAACAAAACCGCATTTTGATGCGTGCCATTTGTGTTGCATATCGATTTCTTTCTTTCATACGGCTTCTTTCTCTTCGCAACTTTCAGCTTTCCGTTTACGACCACAACTTAGCCTGTTGTGAAGTACTC